AAATAAGCGACTTGGCCTAGCTAAACCCGACACGGCCGTCGCCTGGGCCGTTCGGCTTAGGCGTTTCCCTGTTGTGATGGCTTATAACTACAAGGTTTTTGTGCACCTTCGAGCTGCATCACAATATTGGCGATGGTAAAAGCAAATGTCCGAAGATATGTGTTTTGTGTCTTTGTCGACTATGGGACAGTGAACGGGAGGAGGAACGCGAGCGAGAGCTGGAACGGGATGTAGAACGCGATCGGTTGCGGGANCCGATTCACTTGGTCGTTGGCGTTCTGCCGCGAACAATTCCTCGATTCTGGGGATACGCGAGTGACGGGTGGAACCGATGGGGTGTGTGCGCAAATGCTGTCGGCTGCCTCCTCAAGTTCGTCTAGGGTAGCCTCATTTGCGGATACCCCAAGGAACGTCGCGACTTATTCAGGCAGTGCTTGCATCCAACAAATGCGTAGCACATTTTCACTTACGTGTAAGCTGGAAGCTAGGATCCTCATATAGCTGAGAAGCTGCGTGGGAGTGTGTAGCCCGTTGTCCCTTAGGCGGATTCCGTTCAGTAGCTGTTTGAGACGGTTGTCTTCCGTCATGCTGCAACGGTTGGTTATCGCCTCCTTTAATGCGTCGTAAGGTCTATCTGGTGGGGGATTGCAAACTACGTCTCTTAAGCCCGGACCCATGGAGCGTGGGATATGTCCCACGATTTGTGTGAATTTGGTGACCTGATTGGTCACCCTGGCCAGCCGGAATTGTACTTCCACTTGAGCTAACCAAAACTCCGGGTCTTCGGGGATGAAGTCTGGTATTCTAGCCACTAGACCACTAACGTGGGGGCTTTCCTACTACTTTAAGTTGACTTCTGCGCTGACTTGATCGTCGATCAATGAGTTTTGCATTAAGTACGCGAGTGATGAGTAGATAGAAAAAATGCACGAGGTCTATGTCTCAACTTATTGAAGGTGGTGAAAATAAATCTTAGGTTTCCGCAGCGATAATGAAAGGACTAAGCAAGTGAAATAATGTAACAGTAATAACAAAACTAGAATGCTCGATAAATATAAAATGTGTAAAAAATCACGTCGGGCTCACCAATTTAGTTTCGGGGTTGATGATGTCCGCGAATTCGTACGTCTAACAACGAGCGAGGTAACA